CTTTACCAGGGCTTCCTGGGCACGGGCCCTCCCGAAGATGGTGCCCGGCAGCCCGAGCCACCCTTTCCAATCTGTCTCAGAAGGATTATGCTCTTCATGGAAGAAGTGTCAGGGCAGATGGGACGAGCCAGGGATGGGTCTCCAGGGCCGTGGGTCCACAGCCAGAAGCAGAAGGGGCGTAGGTGGAGCCAGCTGCCGAGGCCATCTTGGGCAGCTCCAGGCTCGGCCTCAGCCTCGTGGGGCTGAGGGCCCCTGAACTGAGGTCACTTCCCTCTCAAGCAGGTAAGAAGACAGCAGCTGGCTGGGAGGTCGGAGGTCGCTGGCTCGGGGGCTCCTGTGCCCCCGACGGGGACCCGCAGGCTGGCCCACGTGCCGTGCTGCATAGTGGAGCTGGAGAGTGCCCGGGTGGGAGCTGCCGGCGCCCAGGGGGACTGGAACTCTGCTCAACTCTGGCTGCCCCGTGCACACCCCAGGCCCCGTGGCCCCCGGCCGTGGCTGGCCCAGGTGAGGACCTGCCCTGGCCGAGGGTCAGAGGGGGTGACAGGGCTCAGGGCCTGGACCACCTCCCCAGCTCATGAGCTCCATCCCAGGCCTCAAGAATGGGGCCAGGGAGTCACTGGGGGCTGGAGGGGGAAACAGCCGTGGGACCCACGGGTGCCACTGCAGGCCAGAGGGCAGCACAGGGTGGAGCTGGGGAGTGGTCCTCAGAGACGCACAGGTCCACGGTGCTGGCTTGTGTGTCCTAGAGCCACAGCTCAGCTGTGGGTGGGCCTGGGCTGGCCTGGTCCCTTCCCCCAGGCCCAGAGCGTGGCCCCTCCCCTGGGTGTCCCTCAGTTGGCCTCCCCTCCTGGTCCCTGCAGCAGCCAGCGCCCCGTGGCCAGGGCAGCGCCGGGTCGCTTCTTTCCAGGCGGGCGTGAGGCTCCTTCCCTGGCACTTTCTGAGCACCCAGTGGGCAGACCTGTGCCAGCTGCCTGGTTCCAGGCTCCCTGCAGTCCCTTCCTCCCGTGGGGCCACCTGCCTCTTCACTGGCTGGAAGGAGGTCTTTCCCTTAAAGGGGAAGGACCTGGGAGGAGCTGGGGTCACTGGCTGCAGAAACTGGCTCCTGGGAGAGGGGCCCGCAGGCAGGGCAGCACCTCAGGAGCTGGCCAGGCAGTGGACACCAGAGTGGGCTGGGGGTGGGGGTGCAGGGCTCGGGCAGCTGTTCAGCTTGGAGTGGGGAGGGGCTCCCGAGGGTGAAGCTGGATGCAGGAGGGCCGGGGAGGAGCCTGGGTCCAGCAGGCCCGTGAGGGCTAGAGCCCAGTGTCGTACCCTCGGGCGATGTTTCTGGCTACCTCTATTAAGCACCTACTGTGTGCCTGAGCTTACTGTCCTATTTCCCATCACTCCCTTCCCATACCTGCTCCAGGGCACTTGGCACAGCCAGGGGTGGGAGGTACATGGGCGGCACCTGCCCTGCCCAGGCTCCTCCTCCCAGCCCTGGCCTCAAGGTGGGAGAACCCCAGTGCTGACCAGTGCCAGCCCGTGGGACTGGCCACCCCAGGACCAAGTCCAGTGCCCACGGAGGGCAGCCTGGCAGGGGGAGCCTGGGCAGAGGAGCTGGGTGCCCCAGGAGGCAGGAGCCCCTCCTGGCCCCCCCAGCAGATGCTCCTGGCACCCATTGGTCCTTGAGGACCTCAATCAGGGAGCCCAATTTGGAGACAAAGGCCCAGCTCTGCGGACAAATACTCATGGGTATTGTCAGCCCAGGCCGCCAGGCAGCCGAGGCGAGGCCCACAAAGGGCCGAAGAAAGGGGCCGAGGGAGGGGGCCGTGAATGGGCCTGGGCTGCACATGCCACCGTTGCCCGGGCGACGGCCCTCTCACGGAGAGGTCTGCCGGGCCATTGTCCGGGGCCCGCAGGACGTGTCACACACCAGATGGTCGTGTGCTGTCTAGGTCACTTATCGGGGGACAGAGTGAAGGAATGTGGCCGGCGCGGCAGGCCGGGCGCCATCTGTTCCCTCAGACGCGGGCATCGGGCGGGCACTGAGCGCTTGGCCGCTGGGCCCAGCCTGCACCAAGGCTTTAATTAGCTAATTCCATAATTGGACTTTATTTCAGGTAAATTGCATTTCACACCCGAGAGGGCTGCAAAGGCCCTTCCAGGAGCAAAGCCCTCGGGCACACAGTGGGTACGGTGGCAGCAAAGCGGGCGGCCGCGGCAGCCGGGCTTGCCGTGGCGGCTGGCCGGGCACCGTGGAGGGCCTGCCTCGCGGTGGCCAGCGCATCCCGGGGTTTCCACAGATGTTTACGCCACGAGCGGACAGGGGCTTCTGCATTCCAGCAGTTGTTGTCCTCGACGTGCGCGCCTCCCGTGGGTGTGGACGGGAGGCCAGTGCCAGTCAGGAGGACACCAGGGCCTCATGGGGGAGTCTCCAGGAGTCACAGGCCTGGGGGTGCTCAGCATGAAGGGACCTGGAGTTCATTCCCTGCCACCTCACACCTGGGTCCTCGTCCCCACTGCTGGCCACCCCGTGCTTGCACACACTCAGTACAGCTCTGTCCTGGCACCCTCAGATGCCCTTGGCTCTGGTGGCCTGGTCAGGGTGGGCCTCGGAAGGACAGGCGTAGGACAGAGTCCCGAGCATTGAGACTGGCCTGAAGACCAGGGTGTCTTGTTCAAATTCACAGGCCGCTGCGAGGATGCCATGCCATGAAGTGAACGGTAGGCATCGGCCCAGGGCAGGCAGATGGAGCCCACCTGGCATATGCCTTCCACCCAGAAAGCAGGACAGGTGGGGGACAGCATCTTGCCAACAGGAGGTCGAGGCTGTGAGGGCTGGTGTGAGCACGGGGGAGGCCTGGCCCTTCCTTGCATTCCACTACCTTAGAGGCCAATACTTGGGGTCCTGGAGAGGGGATGTCCTGGGTCAAGGGCCAGCAAGGACTGGGCAGGGCAGATGGAGAGGCCCTGGCTTGTCTCTGAGGGTGGTTGCCCAGGGGCACATCAGTGCTGCCCCAGCCAGACCAGGCTCTGGACCAGACTTACCTGCTCTAGGTCCAGGGTCTGCTGGGAGACAGACAGTGACCACACCATGGTCATGTGTGGCCAACGCCACCTGAAGTGGAATCCCCAGGGCCACCAGGGCTTTGACACGTGTCACAGCCCCTCTGAGCTTCTGAGCCCTCCAGTGTGGATAGGGAACACCTGATCAGGCTGCCTGGGCACCCTGCCTCTAGGGGAACCGTAGGGGTCCTGCCGTGAGGGGCTGTGGACGGGGAGGGACAGTTTCCTCTCCAGGTAGGGGAGCTTGGACCAGGAGGGGCAGATGCCCAGGGCAGCCATGGGAGACAGGAGGGCAGGGCCCGAGGTCTCATTGATCCTCCAGAATCAAGGCGAGAGCAGGGCCAAGATCCACCATGGCGCTCCGTGTTTATTGGGGAAGGCTTGCTCAATCAGCAATCAAAATCACACCGTGACCTCATTAGAACAGACCCAGCCACCGCAGACCAGCCGGCGATGCCCGGAGGAGCCCGTCCCGCGTGGAAATCCCCTGGCTTGGCAGCTGGTGAGGGGTGTGTGGCTCCGTCTGTGGGTCTGTCCAGCTGCTCCGACCAGGCGAGAATCACAGGCAGGGACCACATGCAGGGGTTGCTGTCCACAGGGGGTGGGAGAAGCTGCCTGCCCAGAGTGGGCGGTGGGCACCCCCATCCCCTGCCCCAGGGTCAGCATCTCTAGAGAACCAGAGTCGAGCCAGGCTCTCAGGCCTGGTGGTAGGCTGTCCTCTGGTCATTCTGCCTGTGCCCTGCTGGGCCCTGAATTGGAGGCAGGGCTCAAAGACCCACAGACCCCATCCAGGCGACTCCTGTGTGTCCCCCAGGAAGCCCCTCATCTAACCGGGCTGGCCCCCTTTGGCCTGGGCCGCATCCTGGCTCTCTGTGCCCAGGCCAGGCCCAATGCCCTGGGTGTACCCTACCATCGTGCCCCAGCGGCCATGCACGTGAGGCCGTCACCACAGTTGGGGTGGTAGACTAGCCTAAGAGGGCCCAACACCCAGCTGAGTCCTAGTACCCATTGGTGGGGAGGAGGTGGCTGGCCTGGCCCCTCAGCATGGGCTCTGCTGGTGGCATGGCTCCCATATGGGAGCCACGTCGTTCTCCCAGGGTCTTTGGGGAGGTGGCCAGGTCCAGGTGGGTACCTTGCTAAGAGGGAGGTGGGGAGGGCCGCTGGGCTTCCACAGGCCTCCCCACCCAGGCCCACCCTGCCCAGCCCCCATCAGGATGTCTCATCGGGTCCTCTCTGGGGCACGGTCAGCTGTTCGTAGGTGGGCAGAGAGTTGGCGGGCAGGAAGAGCTTGGGGTGGACAGAGCCACCTTCGCTGCGGGACTGGACCACTTGGGCCCCGCCCCCACTAGGGGGGCCACCCTGGTGCAGGGAGAGCAGCCGGTGGAGCAGGTCCGTGATGACCACCAGCCTCTGGTCCAGCTGCGTCACCTGCGGGGACAGGAACAGAGCCGAGTGTGAAGGTGGGGGCAGCCCAGTGCAGAGCCCCTCCGGCGTCGCGGCAGACACGCCACTCATGACCTGGTCAGCGCTGCCCTGGACCCTGCTCATGTGTGCATGTGCCTACTGTGGAGTCTGTGCCCCTCCGCGGCCTCCCCTGGACCTGGCGGCTGGAGGTCTCTCAGCCTGCTCCCAGCCTCTGCAGCTCTGGCCAGGCCCTCAGGGGCATCCAGGGGACCTGGCTCCGGAGTACTGACTTCACCACCATCTTGAGCTCCCTGCGGCCGGGCCAGGCTCCTCCCGGGTGAGGTCAAAGAGACCAGGGCTGTGTCTGCTCAGTCTGGAGGACATGAAAGCTGGCGCAGCCGGGCCTAGTGTAGCAGGACTGGTGCGTGCGTGGCAGAGACCAGGGCTGGACACTGTTTAGGGCCTGGGAGGGTTCAGAGGACAGGGCCTGGAGGTGGCTTAGAGGTGGGTCAAGACCTGGAATGAACATGGCAGAGCGGGTGCCCACAGAGGTGGCCCCATGGCTGCTGGGCCAACAGAGAAGCCCCACATGAACCAGGAGCCCGAGGACGGTGTGGAAGAAAGAGGCCGCTGGCCCCAGGGTAGTACAGATGAGAAGGCCCTGCCTGGGAGGCCAGAGCAGGCCGCGGGCAGTCAGAGGAGACGGGCTGCCCTTCAGGAGCAGAGTGCTCTCCTGCATGGGGCGTCTAGGGAGGTCGTGAGCTCCGTGGGTGGCTCAGGGCTGGGTTGGCCAGTACTTGGCCTGCAGGGTTCTTGGGGCCGTCCCCTCAGGCACGCTGTCAGATCTGTAGTCCCCTCCCCCACCGAGAGTGCTGGAAACTCCAGGAATGGGGGGGGGGCCTGGGGACCTGGGGGCCAGGCCGGCAGAGCTGCTTCATGGAGCAGAGCCCACGGAGACGACTCAGGCACAAGCTGCCTGCTGGGCCCTGAGGAGTCCGCCGGGCCTCCGTCCATCACACACGCACGGACTGTCCCTGACAGGCCTGACCCCTGGGGCCCACCTGGGCCCTAGGGTTGGGGCCGAGCTGGAGTGTAGGGGTGCTGGAGGCAAAGTGGGCACAACCCTGCGCTGGCCAGGTGGGCAGCCCGTTGATTCTGTGGGCCCAGGCCCAGGTCCACAGGATGGGTGCCACGGTCCTCGGCCCTCCTGTCTACAGTGGATTCTGGGTGCAGGGAAGGAGGAGCGGCAGCTTGGGGCCTGCCCAAGGGGCTGAGGGAGAGCAGCCTTCTCTCCTGGGTGGGGGTGGAAGGCCTGTCCTGCATCCCAGAGTGACCGACAGGCTCCTTCCACGGCCAGGGCCTCTGCCCTTCCGGGAGGAGGAAGCCTGGTGTCCCGAACCTGGAGCCATGGTGGCTGCAGCATCTCCAGGACACTCCCAGGCCCTCCTGCTCTGCCTGCAGCCATCCCAGGCCCAGGGACAGCTGTGTGTCTGAGGTGGGACTGCCCAGGCCACGGGGCCTCATTCCCTACTTTCCCCAGTTGAACTTGATGTGCCCACACTGACATGAGGCTGCAGGGCTGCCTGCTGGGTTGGGCTGGGGGCCTGCAGCCACTCTGTGGCCCCTTCCCCAGGGGCCCACCAGCACCCTAATTCTCTGTAAGTCACACCGGCAGCAGCCACAGATGCCGATGCTAGGCTCGGCAGAAGAGGGGCCTGGCTCAGGGTCACTGTTGGGACCACTGAGGTCCACCTGGCCCCCTGCAGCCCCTGCCCCAGGGCTCCACACTCGGGGCAAAACGGGAGGATAGTTGGTGTTGGGTCAAGGGCAGAGCTAGGAAGGGGCTGGAACCAACCCCCCCAGGAGCAGTCGCTGAGAGCCGAGGGCGGAGCTGACGCAGGAGGGAGGCAGCCGGGTAGAGGGCAAGGCGGAGTGTCCCTCTCATTCACCTGCTGGACCCCTGAGGCTCATGCTGCCAGCAGGACCAGCCCCCTCAGTCCCTACCTACTTCTGCCCTGGGAGAACAGTGGGGGGGCAGCCAGGTTTCAGGGACTGAGTGGGGAAACTGAGGCCCAGAGGCCTGCGGATGCACAGAAGGTGGGTGCAGCCAGCGCCAGGCTTGCTCCTTTTGGGTGGATCCTCCTGGATGGTGCCTGGGGCGCTGCATGGCTTCTGGGCCTGGGTTAAGTTTGCTGGATATTGATTGGTTTGGCATTAATTAAAGCACCAAATACATTGCAGAGGAAAATCTGTGGTTTCATAAATTTTCACTTACGGCATCTGAACATCTGTTGGAGCCTCATGTGTGCTAAGAGGTTGGGAAGCCTTGTAGGGACTTCTTGGGGAACGTAATTCAGAGGATGGTGGCTGTTGGGTGTGGCTCTGTGTTGAGCCACCTTGGGGTGACAGGGAGGACAAGCATCATGGAGAGCTGTGCTCAGCCTCCTGCAGAGGAATGGGGTGGGAGCATGGGGTGGGGTGGGGGTGGTGGCTACAGGTGGAGCACAGCTGAGCCTCCCTTCCGGTGCCACCGAAGGAGTCCGTGACGCGCCCTGCTGGGGCTGGTTCCCAAGCTCATTGTGACCCTGTGGTTGTGGCTATGCAACTGGTGTTTTGAGGGACTGTCAGGGTCTCTGGTCCCCAGGGATGTCTCATGAGTGAGCTGCTGGGTCCCTGAGCTGGTCCAGAGTCTGGGGCCTCACACTGCCCCCTCCTCACATAAGAAGAACGGGGCTGGGAAGGCAGGGAGAAAGAGTGGACCTCTCCAAGCCTCTGGGTGCCGGGGTGGATACCTGGGTCCCTCTGGTCATCTGTGGGGTCTCCCAGCTCCCCCCGCTGCCTGCAGGATCTTCCTGAGTAATCCTGGTCACCCACAGGGCTGTCCTGCATTGTGGGCTGCTGTGCGTCCTCTGGGGTCATCTAGTTACCTCTGGGTTCTTCCCACACTATCCTGGCTGCCGTGGGGTCCCCCAGATGCACGCCTGGTGGGGAGAGCTGCTCTTCCAGACCAGCGTGGACACCATGTGCTCCTCCGGGCCGTCCCCCCAGAGCTTGGTGTCTGACCTCGGTGCCCAGGCCCCGAGGCTGGGAACCATACTGTTGGCCTGTTGGCTCTGCAGGGCCCAGGGGGGTGGGGTGGAGCTGTACTTAGACTGGCCCTGGAGGCCAAGGGAGACACAGGTACTGGACCTGGTGAGGCTTCCTTCCCTCTTCTGACAAGCTAGGGTTCCCAGCAGGTCACGTGCTGGGGTGGGGAGGAGCTTGCTTACCTGCACCTCCGTGGGGTGCCGGGGCTCTGGGGGCACCCCGTGGAAGGGGCCTTCCCTGCCCTGCCTGCGTCCAGCCCTGCTGACCTGCCTCGGGAAGGGCCCTGGCCTGGGCTTAGGGTGGCTCCTGTCAGCCCCAGACCTCAGTTCCCGAGACAGCCCTTCACACAGAGACGGTCCCTGAGTCGCCTGGCCCAGGTCCCCCCTCTGGGGTCCTGGTGATGCTGCCGAAGGAGCGGAGGGGAGCCCTCACCAGCAGTCCAGGGAGAGGCCGGCCGGGCCTCCACCCCAGGAGACGCCTCTGAATGGGCAGGTGCCTGCAAGGCACTGCCACCTTTGAGAGAAGGCAGTGCCCATGCTGGGCACTGGCTGGGTGTTCCCCAAGAGCCATGAGACACATCAGTTTTGGGCATCTCAGATCTCGCCACTATTTGCAGTTTGATAGCGATTCAAAGGGCAGGGCCAACAGAAGCCCCTTTGTGCCCTGCCTCGACTCAGCGATTAATAACCATAGACGACTTACGCGGGCTTCGGAAGAGAGCAAAGCAACTAGAATAACAGCTAGTGAGAGGCCCGCGGCGGCTGCTGATCAGACCCGAGGCAATGGGGGTTTCTGTTTGATGTGGTTATGAATTTGTTTTCAAAAGAAAATCTTGAAAAAGAGTCTTTCAAGAGAAATTTTTGCAGAACCTGCCCAGCCTTGATCCCTGCTTGGGACCCCCCAAGGCATGGATCCTCGGACTGCCTTAGCCAGCCGGGCAGGCCAGGCCAGGCCAGGGACGCTAGGGCCAGCCCCAGGGGAGGAAGCCCGTGATGTGCAGGGCTGGACACCCTGGGGCAGCAGCCCATGCTTCCCTGGACCCTTGTTGGATGGTGTTCAAGGCAGGGTGGTCCTCCAGGGTCCCTGTGGGGTCACAGGGTGAAGGCCACCCTGGGAGCCACCCTCAGGGCCAACCTCAAGATGCTTAATGCTGGCCTGGGGTCAGTGGGTGCCAGCCCTGGCACCAAAGTGGCGGGGAGCAGGGGAGAGGCCCCAGGAAAAGGGCAGGTGGGCGGGAGACTGGCCAGCCGGCTCTGCCCGGCCGGGGTCCCAGCCCACCTGTGCACCGGCCGGCTCTTACTCCACTGCACCCGGCATCTACAGGCCAGGAGAGGAAAGGGGCCTGGCGGAGCCCGACTCCCCTGGAGCTGCCCTGGCACGGGCGGGGGCAGGCGGACACCGCTGCCGTGGGGTCCCACGTCACGCAGGACGCACGTGGGGATTGGTGAGAGGAGGACGCCCGCCCTGCGTCCCTAGGGCAGAGTGAGGAGTTTGGACAGAAGTTGGGGGCTGGTGTGGGGCCCATGATAGGCCTTTATTAAGTCCTACTGTGTGCTGGGATTTATGTGCCTCCTTTCTATGTCCCTTTGGGGCATTCCACAGACTCCGGCAGAGGCAGGCGAGGCTGCAGGAGGGCTGGGTGAGGGAGGCCGCTCCTGGGGCTCTCCCCCTCCCTCCCAGCTGCAAACCCTCGGGTGCCTCAGGCTCTGCGGGGCCTGCGCCCTGGACACTCTGGGCTCCCGTCCCTGCGTATCCCGCCCAGCCTGGCAGTCCTCTCCTGCTGGGACGGCTCACGTCCCCACCCCGCTGCACTTCCACGCGGTGGTCTTTTCAAAACCCAAACCAGTTCACGTCGCTGCCCTCTGGTCCAGGTCCCCCGTGGTCCCTAAGGTGTCGGGCACACCCCCAGATCCCTGTGGCTCCTTCTCTTCCTGCCC